AGCAAAGAAAAAGCAATAAAAGCAAAAAAAAAATCAGTGATCAAAATTTAAAACTGTGTCAGATTTGAATAAAATTGTCGATAAATGGAAAAACAAAAGAAACAAAACCAAAAAAATTGGTAAATAATTTTTTAACAGAGAAAAAAAAAAAAGGATTAAACTGCGATATAAGAAACCTATAGATTTTTTTTTTTTACGGTAACATTCAGATGCAGTTTTTTTGGTGTTTTTGTTGGTTACAGCATTTTGTTTTTTTTTTTCTTCTTATCATAACTTCTGTTTTTTTTTGTCGACATCACTGTTACATATTCTCAGTTCTAAGTGCCACTGTAATATCAATAAAAAAAGGTATCAAAATGAAGATTTTTTATATAATTTTAAAGTTTGAAGAAAAAAGGATAAAAATTTTTTTTTTTTTTGATTATTACCAACTGATTTGTTGTAGTCAATCCAAATGTTTTTTGACCGTCATAACTTTTTAAAATTGTTGCTACAGAAAACCAGAGAAGCTGGAAAAGCATGGCGAATTATTATTGCAACAATAACGGGTGAACTACGATACGGTTTTGTAAGCAAGGCTCGATCTTATACCAGGTATATACTTCTGCTTCTGCTTCTACTGCTACTGCTACTGTATTCTGTTCTTAGATGTTAGAACAACAACATTTTGATTCAACTTTATTTTAATTGCAACAGCAAGAAAAAAAAAGTAGCAGAACAAGGTAAAGTAGTTATGAGGTGTGATTTTAGTTGAACAAATGGATAGGAAAAATTTGCACAAGAAAACAAATGAGAAAGATGAGCGTTAAAAAATTGAGGAGAGAGAAAAAACTGGGAGGAAATATGATCGGTGTATAGTTGAGAATATTTGAAACAAATTTTTTTTTTTTAGCATTTCTGCAGTTTTAGTAAAAGAAAATTTTTTTTTATGTGGATAACTGAAAAACGGGACAGAAAGGGAACGAAGGGAGAGGAGAACGGGGACAAAAAAAAAACCACGGAATAATTTTTCGTCTTATTACTTCAAAAAGCAAATGAACAGAATGTAAAGAAAATTGTCAATTTGGTTTTTGTTGGTAAAAAAAAAAAAAAAGCAAAAAAAAAAAAGGGAGAATTTTTTAAGAGCAAAAAATTAACAAAAAACGACAAAGAGACAAAATATTATAAATGCTCACTGATTGTAAAGTTTGTATTCAAAAAAAAAAA